GGCGACAGCAAAACCCTAGCTCGTCATGGGTTTCTTCGGCAAGGGCAAGCTTGATGCCGGTGCCATCTCGCCATGGGTTTCTAAGGCAAGGGCAAGGGCAAGGGCAAGCTCATCCCACACGCCGCCGCCGCGCTGTCAAAAGCCTCTGAGATGGAGCCGCGTGCGGCCAAGGGTCGTCGGCCACGGAACCGGATTTACATCCCGGTGCACCGCGCACACTAGCACTGGCATTACCGCTAGCCGCTGCCATGGCCGGACGTTAAGCTCCCCCACGGCTAGCACCTTACCCGCACCGCATCCCAGTGTCGGCGGTGCTGCCGGCGCACGCGGAGGAGATAATGATGGGTACTGTGACCAATACCTTTACCACCTCGGTTTCGCGGCTACAACTCCACGCGAAGGATGCAGCAGCATGCCTCGGGGCACTAGAGGTTCCCACACCTCGACCCAGTGACCCGGCTTGCACTAGCACGTCTCCTCCAACCATCGAGGTCCGTTTGGGTGGCGCAGATCGGCCCCATGGGCAAGGCGGGCACCACCTACCAACGGGGCTACTTCTGAAGGACCCCAGATCCATCGATCTGCCTCCGACCTACGATCTATCCAATCATGAGCCAAAGTTGTTTGATTATGAGTCTCAGTATGATGAGTGTTGCTCCCACGGTCACACGCATCGTTCACACTTTGGTGGTACTCCGAAGATGGACTTTCCTAAGTTTGATACGGAGGATTACTAGGTCTGGATTGAAAATTGTGAGTTATGTTTTGAGATCTTTACGGTCTCAGACCACATGAAGATCGCCTCTGAATTTTGTGGGCAATGCTGCACTTTGGCTGAAGACGGTTCAGAAATGCAAACAATTCCTAAACAAGGAAGAGTTGTGCGAGGAAGTTTAGTCTAGGTGGGGGCAAGGATATACACATAATTTATGTGAGACAAATCTTACTCTTAAGTCGAATTTGAGGTTCCGCGCCACCAAATTTTGTTAACTGATCCCAACACACATGAGGTTTGTTTGTAGTACGCTATATAGGGTTATGTCCAGAGATTCGTACCGCTGTTGTTCTGAGGATATGGACGCTGCTAGTTATTTGGCTCTCTGGCAGGAAGTGGAGTCAGAGAATGACACACTATCCGACGCACTCAAGCAATCATCGTGTGTGTCCTCCAAAAGTTGCTTGTCCTCGGAGAAGCACAAGTCTCCAGCAACATCGGATGAATCGTGCAAGTTGTCTGAGAAGATGCAGGCAATGAGGGTGTACCGCAAGGCGAAGACCTTGTGCTTCACTTGCGGCAATCCACGGGCACGGCGACACAAGTTCCACGATGAAGTCCCTATTCATGGCATGGAAGAATTGCTTGAGGTACTTCAATTGGACCAACCCCCTGATCCCAACATTTGACTGGCTCCGGCTCATAGGAGGAAGATATGATGATGACCAAAGCGATGACGCTTGATATATCTACCCAACGTCGCACCATGAGTCTGCACGACAATATTGGGTAGAGATAAGTGCTGATTGATACGTCTCCGTCGTATCTATAATTTTTAATTGTTTCATGCCAATATATTCTACAATTTTCATATACTTTTGGAAACATTCTATATTATTTTGGGATTAACATATTGATCCAGTGCCCAGTGTTAGTTCCTTTTTTTGCATGTTTTTTGTTTCACAGAAAATCCATATCGAATGAAGTCCAAAGCGATAAAATTTTACGGACATTTATTTTGGGATATAGGTGATTTTTGGAAAGAAGAATCAACACAAGACAGTGCCCGAGGTGGCCACAAGGCAACTGGGCGTGGCCAGGGGGTAGGCCATGTCGTGTTACCTTGTGACTCCCTCGTAAGCCGGTTGCAACCCTTCTTTCGCGGCAAGAAAGATAATTTATGGATAAAAGTCCCCTAAAAATTTCAGCCCAATCAGACGGATCTCCGGGAATATAAAAAGTGGTGAAGGGGTCCAAAAACAGACGAAAAACAGAAGAGAAACATAGAGATATCCAATCTCGAAGGGGCTCCTGCCCTTCGGGAGCCATGGAGGCCAAGGACCAGAGGTTTCCCTGCTCCCATCTAGGGGGGAGGCCAAGGAAGAAGACGAAGGAGGGGGCTCTCTCCCTTTCTCTCCCGGTGGTGCCGGAAGCCGCCAGGGCAATCATCATGTGACGACGATCTACTCCAACAACTCTGTCATCTTCATCAACACCTCCATCACCTTCCCTCATCTATATTCAGCCGTCCACTCTCCCGCAACCCGTTGTACCATCTACTTGAGCATGGTGCTTTATGTTTCATATTATTATTCAATGATGTGTTGCCATCCTATGATGTTTGAGTAGATTTTTGTTGTCCTATGAGTGATTGGTGAATTGCTATGATTTGTTTAAATTGCTTGTGATTATGTTGCTGTCCTTTGGTGCCCATCATATGAGCGCGTGTGTGGATCACACCTTAGGTTATTTATATGTTGATAGGACTATGCATTGGAGGGCAAGAGTGACAGAAGCTTCTCCCTAACATAGAAATTGATTCATATGGGATTGAAAGGGGGACTAATATATCTCAATGCAATGGTTGGGTTTTACCTTAATGAACTTTAGTAGTTAAGGATGCTTGCTAATTGTTGCAATCATAAGCGCATAAAATTTCAAGTAAGAGATGACATGCTAGCAGTGGCCTCTGCTACTTCTTGAGCTTGTGTTGATTTTTCCCCTTGAATAGGAAAGGGTGATGCAACAAAGTAGAGATAAGTATGTCCCTCAGTTAAGAACCAATGTATCAATCCAGTAGGAGGCACAAGCAAGTCTCTAATCTATGCACCTGCACGAACTAACAAACACTTGCACTCAACGCGAAAAAGGGGTTGTCAATCTCTTCATGGTCTCGAACAAGAGTGAGATCTAATAGAGATAGGTATAAAAGATAAATAAAAAGGCAAAATAAAATAAATCTAAATAAATCACAGCAATATATTTTTGGGGTTTTTGGTTTATAGATCTAAAAATATATGATGAAAAATAAATCCGGGGGCCATATATAGGTTTCACTAGAGGCTTCTCTCTTGAAAGAAAGCATACAATGGGTAAACAAAGTACTATCAAGCAATTGATAGAAAAGCGCAAAGTTATGTATCCAAGGCAATGATCATGAATGTAGGCATCACATCCGCGTCAAGTAGACCGAAACGATTCTGCATCTACTACTATTACTCCACACATCGACCGCTATCCAACATGCGTCTAGAGTATTAAGTTCATAAGAACGGAGTAACGCCTTAAGTAAGATGACATGATGTAGAGGGATAAACTCAAGCAATATGATGAAAACCCCATCTTTTTACCCTTGATGGCAACAATACAACACGTGCCTCGCTACCCCTACTTTCTCACAGGGTGAGGACACCACAAGATTGAACCCAAAACTAAGCACCTCTCCCAGTGCAAGAAAAACCAATATAGTTGGCCAAACCAAACTGATAGTTCGAAGAGAAATACAAAGATATCTGATCATGCACAAAAGAGTTCAGAAAAGACTCAAATAATATTCATAGATAATCTGATCATAAATCCACAATTCATCGGATCTCGACAAGCACACCGCAAAAGAATATTACATCAGATAGAA